GGTGGATGGGGCTCCTCTGGTGGATGGGGTTCCTCGCAAAGCTGGGGAACTCCAGCCGTGTGACCATGCAGCGAGCATAATGCACGATCGGTTCTTGCAGAAAAAAGTTTTGTGTCCGTGTTGTGTACTGTAAGTGACTTAAGGCAGGAAGCCTCAGGCTCCTTGAAGTGGTAGAGGTGCAGCAATTATAACAGGAGCACTATATGCACCCTAAACCTTAAACCCTTAAACCCTAAAGCCCCAAACCCTAAACCCGCCTGCGAGCTTCTTGCAGTTTTTCAATAGGGCAGGAAGCCTCAGGCTCCTCAGAAGGTTTAGGACAGGAAGCCTCAGGCTCCTCAGAGGGTTTAGAACAGGAAGCCTTGGGCTCCTGAAGCTTGAAGCTAGAGTTTGACCGTGGCCGAGGATTACTGTAGCACTCTAGAGGCTCCCATGTCAGCCCAGGCCCCTTGTCATCTGCATACCGTGCTGCAGTCCTGGAGCTCAAGACAAGACGTGTTTCACCCTCGCTTGAAGCCATGAGCCAGAGTGCCTTGGACGTGTTCTTCGGTGGAAAGGGTAGTGAGCCAGAGCTCGACACTCAGCAAGAAGACACTCAAGAAGTGGAGGTAGTTCAGGAAGTCCCGGAGCCTCAAGAGCCTGAAGCTAGCGAGGTTGAGGCTGCACCCAAGGCCAAGGCCAAGGCCAGCCAAGCCAAGGCCAAGGCCAAGGCCAAAGCCAAGGCCAAGGCAAAGGCGAAGGCCAAAAGCAAGGCCGCCGAGGAGCCTAAAGCAAAGGCCAAAGGCAAGGCGGCAAAGTCCGAGAAGTCCAGCGAGGACGAGAAGGCGGACGACGAGGCCGTGGCGAAGGAGGAGAAGCAGCAGGAGTCGAGCCAGGAGCACGAGCAGGACGAGAAGGCCGACAGCGACAGCAAGGCCACCAAGCCCCAAGCCAAGGCCAAGGCGAAGGCCAAAGCCAAGGCCAAAGCCAAGGCCAAGGGCAAGGGAAGCACGGTCGAAGAGCCGAACCCCCCCGACAACGGTACGGAGAAGCGACCGGGCAGCCCGCCGGAGGAAAGCAGCAAGGCGAAAAAGTCTCGCTCGGACCAGGACCGTGAGAAAGCGGCGAAGCTGGGCGACCTGCAGCTTTGCAACAGCGAGCCCCAGCCGCCTGCCGGGCAGGGGGAAAGCAGGGACAAGAACAAGGCATGGTGGTTCTCGAAGCACTTGAGCACCATGCCGGACGATATCCAGAAGTTGTTTCTCTCTGAGAAAGTGTCACGGGTGCCTTGCCACATTTTGATATCTAGGCTTTGGCCCTATAAAGGAGGCACCGTCAGAGGCAGCCTTTGGCTCCTGCTATAATTGCCATAGGCTTTTGATCCTTGAGGTAGCCTTTGGCTCCTGCTGTGCAACCATCTGAGGCCGACAAGACGAAGCTCATCAATGGTGCGGTTGAGAAGAAATCCGGGGGCAAGGCCGGCCAGATGTACAAGCTGAACACCGAGTCCGCCGTGCTCCAGCAGCTGAGCACCTTCTACAAGAAGGTTTGTGGCAAGGACAAGGTGAAGGGCAAACCCAGAGCACTGATGGTGGCCAAGCTGGGAGGGGAGGAAGCTTTCAAGAAAGCTCTGGCCACCGGGGATGTGTATGAGGTGAACAACAATGGTTCCTTGTTCTACTGCTTCAGAGAGATCGTCGTCACCAATGAGACTGGCACCAACAATAGGATGTCGACATCGAAGCTACGGAGCATTTAGAGGCTTATGTTTTAAAAGCTTGAATGAGCTATAGATACTAAGTTTTGTTCCCATCAGCTCAGGAAGCCCGACCAGAGCATCACCGACTCCGCCGCCGAGGGATTCGACAGCTTCTTCGCAAACTTCCAACCATGCCTGGAACCGGACCGTGCTGCTGGATGTGGCTCAGAGCTCCAGGGTGGCCTTCTGGCTTTGTGTGACAAACCGGGAGCAGAGAGCTGGACTGCGGAAGCTAGTACGAAGGTGGAGGAAGCTTTGCAGTGGGCAAATGCCACGAGGATCAGTGTTTCCAAAGTGCTTTCAAAGGAGACGGCAGCTTTGAGCAAAAGCTCGGTGTGGACGACCCTCAAGGGCCAGCTCCAGAAGGCTTGGGAGGACTTGATGCCCTTGCACTCGGATCTCGAGAAAGCGAAGCTCTTCAAGAACCTTTCGCTTGCTGAGCTGAGGTCGCTGTTGCAAAAGGCTGCAACTGGCCTGCTCGCAGCCCAGGATTTGATCAAGGGCATGACTGCCCTCATTTGATTTTGAATGTTTCCATTCTACAATTCGTCTTTTAGGATCGACGTGTCATGACACATGTGCATGTTTGCTCTGGGGATCGAAGCAGCTGCTGCGACGAAAAAGAAGTGCATGTATGCATGTGAGCTTTAGGAAGCCAAAGGCTCCTAAGAGAATATTATATATATCCTAGGTGTATGTTGCAAAGGAAGCCTTCGGCTCCTCCAAAGAAGACTTTATCTTCGGGTTTGGTGGATGTTTCTTAAGTTAAACTCTGAGGCTTTAGGGTTTGCAGGGCCATAAGTTTTGAGATAGATGATTTTTTTGGTTGAGGTGTCTGGGTTTTCTGGAGTACTCGGGTTTAGGGTTTTTGGTTGCAGCTTTTCTCGAGTTAAAGGGTTAGGCTATAATTGAGGGTTGCGGGCTGGGGTTATAGGGGTTTAGGGTTTTCACGATATTGGATTTGGGATGTTCGGGTGTTCAGGATTCAGGGGTTTAGGGGTTTAGGGTATAGGGTTTGAGATTCGGTGGTTTAGAGTTGGGATGTAGCCTGTTCATGGGTTTAGGGTTTGAGGGGTTTAGGGTATGGGGTTTTGGGTTTGAGATTCGAGGGTTTCGGGTTTGGGGGTAACGTGGGTTCAGGGGTTTAGGGTATAAGGGTTTAGGTTTGAGATTCGGGGGTTTCGGGTTTGGGTGGGAGGGTGTTTAGAGGTAACGTGGGTTTAGGGGTTTATTTGTACGGGTTTAGGGTATTCGGCTTAGGTATTTTGGTTTAGGTCTAAGCTAGGGGCTTTAGGGTTTAAGGACGTTTTAGGGGTTTAGGTTTTTAGGTTTAGGGTTTTCACGGGCTTGGGGATAGCAAGGTGTTCAGGGCTTCTGGTTTGCGAGTTTAGGGTAGGGCTTAAGGTGAGTCGAAGTTTCGTCGAAATTTCGATCAAACTTCGACTCCTTCGGTGGTGCTTTTCTCACGGGGCATTGAAAATTTTCAATGCCCGGCAAAAAAGCGCCACCGAAGGAGTCGAAGTTTGATCGAAGTTTCGACGAAACTTCGATTCACATAGTAGAAGTTTCATCGAAACTTCGATCAAACTTCGACTCATGCAGTCGAAGTTTGATCGAAGTTTCGATTCCGAGCAGTCGAAGTTTGATCGAAACTTCGACTGCCCAATCGAAGTTTCATCGAAGTTTCGATTGCGAATCGAAGTTTGATCGGAACTTCGACTCATGAGTCGAAGTTCCGATCAAACTTCGACTCACGAGTCGAAGTTTCGATCAAACTCCGACTCGGAGCAATCGAAACTTCGATGAAACTCCGATTCACTGAATCGAAGTTTGATCGAAGTTTCGATGAAACTTCGACTCATGAATCGAAGTTTCATCGAAACTTCGATGAAACTTCGATTCAACACCCAACTCACCCGGTGGCGCTTTCTGTCCGGGCACTGAATTTTTCAGTGCCCGGACGAAAAAGACCACCGGAAAATCACCCAGCCAGCACCACCCAAACACCACACACGACCCACCGCCCATTGCCCAACACCCACCACCACCTAGCACCCACCACTACCACCCAGCACCCAGCACCCACGACCAACCACCAACGACCCAGCACCCACGGCACCCACACCCAAAACCCGCCACCCACCGCCGCCACGAGCAACCATCCACGACCCACCGCCCACCACCCGCCAGCCACCACCCACCGCCCACGACCAACCACCAACGACACAGCACCCACGGCACCCACACCCACCACCCACCACCCACCGCCCATCGCCACGTACCATCCACGACCCACCGCCCACCGCCCGCTATCCACCACCCACCACCCACCACCCACCACCCACCACCCAACGTGTATATATACACATACATATACATATATATATACATATATATATATATATATACATATACATATACATATACATATATATATATATATATATGTATATGTATATGTATATATATGTATATGTATATGTATATGTATATGTATATGTAGATGCAGATGTATATGCATATGTATATGTATATGTATGTATATGTATATGTATGTGTATATGTGTATATGTGTATGTATATATATATGTATATATGTATATATATGTATATATATATATATATATATATTCATATATATATATATATATTCATATATATATATATATATATATTCATATATATATATATATATATATATTCATATATATATATATATATATATACATATATATATATGTATATATAAGATAGAAAGATATACCCTAAACCGTAACCCCCTAAACCCTGAACCCGCTAAGCCTGCCCTGAAAAGAACCCTGAAGAGTCCAGTGCCCCAAACCCTAAACCCTGAAAGCCATCAACCCTTAAACCCCCCTAAGCCTAAACCCTCCAAACCCTTAGGGTTTTAGGGTCTGTAAGGGTTTAAGGTTTTAAGGTTTTTCCACAATAGCACTTTAGGGTATAGGGTTCGGGCTTAGGGTCTTTAGGGTATACCTGTTCTAAACCACAAAGGGGTCAGGGCACCCAAAGGGGTTATAGGGCTTAGGGTTTTTTTTTTCGAGGAGCACACGTATATGAGGATGCCGAAGGCTCCTTGAAGATAATGTAGGATAAGGAAGCCAGAGGCTCCTTGAAGCTAATGTACAATTAAGGAAGCCAGAGGCTCCTGTTTTGTGGCCGCTAGACAATATTTGTTTATCCTCAGCAGTCCTCCCAAGCCTTGAATTTTTTGCAGTAGATCTGTGAGATGTGTGCCGCCATGGATCCGGACATCATGCAGCGGGGAGGATCCAAACAAAGAGCTGCGAAACGTGCTGCACAAACTTCGGCAGCAGTTCCAGAACCCAGCCGATTGGCGACCCACCTTCTGCGGTCATTCGGCTGGGGGAAGATGTCTTTGCCAGAAGTACAGGTGGTGGCTGCACTGGTGGAAGAAGATGCATTGGAGCCAGTGAAAGCCGAGATTCGCATACTTGCCAATCTCGGCTCTCGGGGCCTATATCAGGGAAATCTCCGGAGAGACCTATTGAGGCACACTCAAATGCCTGCTCTTGTGAGCAGCAACGTGTGTGTGCCCATCAAGAAAGCTCTCCGGGCTGCGATCCCGTTTTTGGACCCTGTTGACGTGTTTCGGTCGCTGCAGCGACAGCCAATGGTCTTCGTGAGTTATGCTGCAGGAACGATGGTGACATAGCGAACTTTTGGCGAGAGGTCGGCTCCTCGCACCCTGCACTCCTGCACCATCCCGTGAAGAAGATCAAGAACTACCAATCCAGAGCGGTACCGCTGATCCTGCACGGCGATGGAGTTCCGATTGACAGCAAGGACAGGTCTTGTGCTTTTATCTCTTGGAGAAGCCTGCTCTCCTCACAGACCTCTTCAAAGCTCGTCCATGTGCTGATAAGTGCTGTTTGGACTGAGCAGCTCGTGGTGTCTTCCTGTGGCAACACTGTGGCCAGCATCTGGGGACACGTCGTTCGGGCCTTTGAACGATGTTTCGAAGAATGCAAGACGAACAATGACTTGTTCCCGGTGCTCCTTTTTCTGACTGGTGACTTGGAATGGTACAACACGAGTCACAACTTGCCACGGTGGAATTCCAACTTCCATTGCGGGCATTGCAACATCAGCAAAGACAATATGTTCGACTACAAAAACGTGGCGGAGGTTCCTGTGGATCCATGGCACTGCCCTCGCCGCAGCTGCTGCCCTCTCCTGCGACACCTTGTGAGCCCCAGGGGTGTGATTCCGGACTGGATGCACAGCAAGCACCTCGGCTTCGACCAGCGGCTGGCTGGCTAAACGTTGTGGGTTCTCTGCTGGAGGATCCTTCCTGGCGGAGTAGAGGAAAACCTGGACAATGTATTGCTGCAGATGAAGGCTGTGAACTTTCCTTTTTTTTTCTGATAGGCTAGCTTAAGCTCCTCCTGTTTTCAGATATGTATAGGCAGCTTAAGCTCCTGCTGTTTTCAGATATGGTATAGGCCGCTTAAGCTCCTGTTGTTGTGAGACATGGTATATAAAAGTTGTAGTGTGTAGGCAGCTTCAGCTCCCCTGCAGGACTACTGGCGGCAGCACAAGGGCAATGGCATCAACTACATCACTCAGACCATGGTCCTGGCTGACCCACAGGATATTCACTGCAGAAAGGGATACCCTCGCTTGAAGGCCAAGGCAGCAGAAACTAAGGGCGTTATTGCAGCTTTGGCGAGCATCTGCCAACAGCACCTGCAACAGGACAACGAGGAGCACCAACAGATTGCCCTGGCTTTGAGTTTCAGCCGCGATTTGGACCAAATGGCAGATGGCATCGAAGACTGGAAGCCCTCGAAAGAGGTGGCGGATCGGATGATGCTCACGGCCGTTTGTCTCTTCCAGTGCATGACGATTTTGAATAAGTCCTTTCTGGAGCAGGGCCATCTGGCCTTCCAGTTGACATTCAAGACACACTGGTTTCTGCATGGGCTGCAGCTGGCGAGGCATCTTTCCCCCAAGCTGACTTGGACATACTCCGGCGAGGATTATATGTCCAAATGCAAGGGTCTCCTCAAGATGTGTACCAAGAGCCGGACGATGCTGACTTCGTTGGATCGTTTCATGCGGCAGTACACAGATGCCATGTCAATCGAACTGGCAGAGATCCTTGCACAGCCTGGACCGCCGCTCTGAGGAGAAAAAATGGGACCGTTCCTTAATTGCTGAAGGAAGCCTCGGGCTCCTCGTTCCTTAATTGCTGAAGGAAGCCTCGGGCTCCTCTGAGATTTTGAGCGCCTGCAGTTCTGAAGCAATCTAAGCCTCGGCCTCCTTGTAGGATCTTCAGGGCATGTCGTATCTGCTGCAGCCGGTTTTCAGCTCAAGCTCGCCGCTCGCCTCCGTAGTACAGCCATGGCAGACGAGGCCGAGCAAGCCGTTGAGGTCAAGGACCTCGTGGAGGCAGCTCTGCAGAAAGACGAGGGCGACCAAGCCGTTGAGGGCAAGGACCTCGTGGAGGCAGCTCTGCAGAAAGCCCGAGAGGAGGAGCTCGACCCAGAGGCTCGCAAGTGCAAAAGGGAACGGTGGGTGGGCTACCAACACGTGAACTTCCCCTGGCTTTCTACCGCCTTCCTCAACGAGGTGTTGCCCAACAGCTGGTTCGTTTCCAAAAGAGCTTGGGAAAAAGAAGCCTGTGTTGCCCGTCGAACCCTGAGGCTGTTGACTTGCCTCCGCTTCGGCCTCAAGCTACAGCAGCTGGCTGCCGGCAAAAACGGCGGGGCATGAGTGCCATGTAGTGGCTCCATGCTATAATTTAATGCACGTGTCATGACACATGTGTATATATGCTAGGGATCGAAGTCGCTGCGAGGGAAAAAAGGAGTGCATGAATCTATAGGAGCTGTAGTCCAGGAAGCCAAAGGCTCCTGAGGGATATTAAGATAGGCCAAGGGCGAGGAAGCTGCCAACTCGATCGCTTTAGAAATGCAATAAGCAAGGAAAGGCACAGAAGGCACAAATGCACCATATACTCAGAAAGGCTTCCATGAACCCCGCAAGCCAATGGGGTCCAGGAAGCCAGGCAACCAAGAAATCCAGGATGTGTCAGTCCTGGATCCGCACGGGACCGCCTCGTGAAGACGTGGCGGTCCCACCCATGTGCGAGGAAGCCGCCAGCTCCTAAAAAAAAAGGTAGCTTAGAAGCTCCTATAGGCATCCGGTGACACCATAGGATGTGCCCGCATGCATGGTTGTTGTATATATATTGTATGTTTTTCCCGTGCAGTTTTTTTAGTTTGCAGCTGTAGGACTCCTGCCATGGCACTGCCGACAGTTGGCGAGCGGCTGAAGGTGCTGCCGTCAGTGACTGCAGCTGCCCTTGAAAATGCCGTCGAAAAAGGGTTGCGGCAGATGGGCCACAACACACTCGGCATGCTGTGCAGAGGACTGGATGAATGCTCATGGAAGACGGCCCTGGGCAAACACATCCAGGAGGTCGTGTTCCTCGCTCCGATCTTGAACCGTATCTTCGAGATCTGCACCAATGGCTTGATACCCCATGCCTTGCTCCAGACTGCTTTGCTCGGCCTGTTCAAGAGGGACATCCTGGTACTACAGGCTCCACAGCAGAAGTTGCCAGGCTGGGGGCGCTTATAATCTCATGATAGGTATAGCCTAAGGATCCTAAGACTCTAGTGCCTAACCCGGCCCCTAAACCCATAAATTCAAAGCCCTGCAGGCTGGGAAGACTCGTCGCTGCAGTACTTCAACCTGAGATTCAGAATGCTGGCCGGCAAGATTCGGGATGTTGCCACCGGCAAGGAAAAGATGCCCAAGAAACTCGACAAGCAGGCACTTCAACAGGTGCAGGCCCTCTGCTTGCAGATCAACCCGAAGTTCAAAATGGAGGACATGGTGCAGCCATCGGAGACAGTGCCGCTGAAAGGTGTACTTGCACTCCAGGACGGGCCAGCGAAGGATGCCGAGACGGAGCCTGCAGCAGCAGTCGTACCTGCACCTGTCACTCCTCCGGTGTCCCATACCCCCGCTTCTGGCAGCATGGACTGCATGCCAAGGGCATCTGGAAGCATGGACTTCATGCAAAGGGCGACACAGCAAGCTTTGCAGAATGCCTGGGCAGCCTCTCCGGCCAAGCCCCTCACCAAGAAGCAGAAGGAGGCGGCTGTCCAGAAACGGCCTGCGAGCAAAGCTCCAGAAGCCTCGCCGAAGAAGCGGCCTGCTGCCAAAGATCCAGAAGCCGGCACAGCTGCCAAGAAGCAGAAGGAGTCTGTTAACCCTGCCCCTGTGCCCGGCCGCGAGGAGAAGGAGCTCTACCAGGAGGCGATCAGCACTATTATCTCTGACTCCGTGTTTAAAAGCACGGACAGTAGGAACCACTACACATCTCGATTTTACGCCAAGGCGAAGAGGCTTGCTCTTGGCCACGGCTTGGGGAAAGAGAAGGCCGTAGAGTGGGCTCGCAAAGCCCACTCGAAAGCCAGCCAGCTCTGGGATGAAAAGTTTCACTGAGAGTGAAGTCCACTCGAAAGGAAGCCATGGGATGAGACTGCGAGTAAAAGGAGTGCTGCATCTGGGGTTTTGGGCAAATTATAAGCCAGAAGCCGCCTTAGGAAGCAGAAGCTCCTGAAGCATCCAGTCCAAGATTTAAGTCAGGAAGCCTTAAGCTCCTGAAACATCCAGTCCAAGATTTAAGTCAGGAAGCATAAGCTCCTGAAAAGAATTCAAGGAAGCAAGAGCTCCTGGAGGAAAATCAAGGGCTAAAATAGCCTATGTAATAGTTTAAAATAGACTATTCAATAGTTTAAAATAGACTATAATAGTCTATTTAAAATAGACTATATCCTAGTCTATTTTTGACTATATATCTTATAATAGACTAATAGTCTATTTTAGGATATATAGTCTGTTAACAGCCTAAGAAGATTCTTTGGGATATTTTAAGGTATATTCCTTAATTCGCCTCGGCCTCCCTCTATTCCCCACCTCTTAATCCCCTCCCCAATAAAAACACCAAAAATCCGCGCCACGCCCTCGCCGCATGCGCGTACAGCCGGGCCGAGGCGGAAGACGCGCAGCGTTTCAAATTAAGGGATTTTGGAAGGTCTGGGAAGGTGGCTTACTTGGGGTTAAGGTATGCCTAACTCCGGAAGCTCCACCCGCACCGCCAAAAAGCGCTTCAAAGGAAAATAACCATAGATGGACATCCTAGCACTGAAACCCACAACCCTAAACTCCAAACCGAGGTTTAGGGTTTAGGGTTCTGAGTCTTAACAATCGCAAAAAACATCCCTAGGGATCAAAATAGCCCAAAAGCCTCGTATAGTATGGTCTTTGGGCCCAAAAGCCTTAAATGTATGAGTCCTTAGATCCCTAAACCCTAAAGATCCCTTTAAAGGACCACTTGTAGATCCCTTTAAAGGAACCTTATATGAGTCCTATAAACAAGAGCTACTGACTTCCAAGTTGCGGTAGTCAACGGCGACGACCATCACACCGGCCTCGGCCTGGAATTGCTTTTTGTGTTGCAGGGGGCGGCGGGGTTGGAAGTTTAGGGTTTAGGTTGGGGCTTTACAAGGTGTTTAGGGGTCAGTTGGTTGGGGATTTACGGGTTTGGCTTGGGGGTTTAGAAGGTTTTTGCGGGTTAGCTTCGGGGTTAAGGGCTTACTTATAGGGTTTCGTTTTTTTTTTAAAGTGCTGTTAGGGTTTCGTTTTTGGGTGGGGGTTTAGGGCTTAGAGGGTCTTGGGGCTCGGGGTGCGAAGGGCCTTAAGGTCTTCAGGCTTAGAGCTCGAGTTGGGTTATTCGGGAGTTTCCGAGAATGAGGGGTACCTTATAATAAGACTCCGAACGTGGAGAGGTGGTCAGGGTCAGGCGACGAAGCTGTAGTGCTGGACATCGATCGGGTAAGGATGGGGAACTCCGTGTAGACCATGGTTCGTCCCTGATCTCAACCATTGCCTCTTCCAGCTTCTGTAAGTGGCAGGCTCTTGGTTCTGTTTCCGTTTCTCAGAAGTGTACTGAAGAAAGAGCTCGTGTAACTGATCGTCGTCCATCATGGAAGATCAGACTGACAATGGCAGGCAGTGACAATGACAATGAAAATAGGGAGTCCCGTGGCTATCTACGGGAACCTCTTAACCAGAAACCGTAATTCATGAAGCCCTTGCCTAGCACTTGCAGAATCAAGTATAACAGACTAGAGAATACAAGACCAGGGGATCTGTATAGAATAATGTCTGGGAAACCTCCAGCCCTACATGGATAGGTTCTGAGCACTTGTACCACACCCATTAGTCCATTGAGCTTGCTCCTGGCTGACAAGTGGCAAGACGGACTGCCAGCAACACGTTCCACAGCCTAGGGCGAGGGCTTGTCGAAAACATCTGCAGCTTACAAAGGATTAGGATGCAGCATCCGACATTTAGGCCTTGAATGTTTATTAGGTGTTGGGGTTTGGGGGTTGGGGTCACATTAAGCCCACTAGGTTCGCATGTTGGCACCTTAACCCCAAGCCCTACGCTTCAGAGATGAGTGTGAGCCGAGACTGGTCGGTGTGGGTGGGCCTCCGGTTTGGAACTGGCTACAGGGAACTCCAGAAAGTTGGAATATGGTTTCGGTAGGATACCCTATAATTTACCATAGAAGGGTTAGGATAATCATATTCCAACTTTCTGCCTTTTACCTTAAGCGCTTCTTAAACTGTGACAATCCGGTTAGATAGGGTGTGGTAGTGTCAAGTAAGTTTCCCTAAGGGTCCATGTACTCGTGTAGTACTAACATTGGCCTTAATGTAGTCCCTACATAGGTACTTTGGGGCCATTGTATCTCTATATGGGTACATGGACCCTTAGGGTTGATTAAGGTTTATAAGGTTCCGGGCTACGGGGTTTAGGCTTAAGGGTTCAGGGGGTCTATCGGGTATAGCCCAAGCTGGCAAAGGCTTCGTGAGCTTTATGGCGATGGCGAGCCGTCAGGGAAATGGGGCATGTGCTGTGCAGCAAAGTAGGGATTTTGAGCATGCTAAGCTTACTTGTCCAGCTTACGAGGGGCGTTAAAGGTTAAGCTTTCGGATCACACAGGGGTCATTCAGATTCCATCCTGAACAGTGTTAAAGTTTCCATAAATAATTGCCCATTTACAGTGAGAAATTCGATAGCAGTGAGCCCTAAAACACTAAGTG